GAGAGAGGATGAGAGACTCAAGTGTTGGGGACTCTCCTTCATAGGGTCACTATGAGTCACCTGTGACTCAACAGCACTTAACAACAACAACAACAATTCCTCATTACCCCTTGGAACGTTTCCTTTAGTAATTCTTCCACAACTTTTTTTTGTGCCTTTACTTGCTTCTTCCTGTACTAAGATTCTGATGATGTGCTTCGTATTTATCTTAATTATTTCCCTCATTACTCTTAGGTTTTCTTCTTTTTTCTTTCTTTTTGATTCTGCTTTTTGCTGTAGCAGCTCAGTGGTGACAATTCTATCTTCTATCTCATTGGTTCTGTGTCCATCTCTTCAGCATTGTTCATGTGACCCCGCATCATGTTGACAGCATCTGCAACATTGATCCTCTTATTTTGAATTGTGTTTTCTTGTTTTTCCAGAGCCTCTAAAGCCTCATTTGTTTTATCTGCACTGCTTTGGATTGTGTTTGGTGGTTTGTTTGTGGTGTGTTTTGGGGTTTTTTTTTTTGTTTTTTTTTAAGCTCCTCCTTGTTTCTGCTTGTGGTGTTCTGTAATTCTTTAATTTTGTCTTTCAAACACTGAAATTATTAAATCCTTGTTTTGTTTTTTTTTTAAATTCTGTGTCAGAAAGTTTCATCAGACTGTCTCGCTTCAGGAAATCCATTGATACTTTGTCACTTCTTTTGGGTGACATCTTGCTTTGGGCTTGTATGAGGGGGTCAGGTAGCTTGCCTCCTTTGTGACATTGCTGTCATAGAGTTTTTCATGTCTTTGTTTTTTATACTCCAGAAAAAGATATGGCAGCTTCCCTGTCTGGATTTCTCTCATTTTGATGGTTAGAAGGCCTGTGGAAGCAATCTCCTCTTCATACAACTGCTGAAGCGAGGATAGTCCAAGGTGCTCTGGGTTAAAGGCAGTTAATGGACTGGGCATGAGGAAACACAAGTCAGAGCACAGAGACTTGATTGGAAAACAAGGAAGCCTTGGCTTTCCCTTCAAGAACAAGCTCCAGCTGTTTCACTCCCTTCTGATTTGGCTTAAGGGGTCTCCTGTGATCCAGCCAAACAATAGTGACCTCCACAAAGTACCTCACTTAAGTTCCAGTGTTGCTTCTGGTGTGCATCAGTATTGTTGTTTTGGATGCGGACTGGTGGCATCGGGATCAGAGTTCTGGATGCAAGATGACATGATGGGACTGGAGTTCTGGGATCACACTTACTGAGAGCCTAGCTTTCCTGCTCAGCCTGGTGTATTGTTCCCCAGTGTGTCATTCCATGGTGCATGCATCAGCAGCTCCCCAGTGGATGCATGGCATCAGCAAGCAGCTCCCTGGTGTGTGCCTGGAGAGAGCAAGCAGCTTCCTGGCAAGAGCAGACAACTTTTTTTTTACTTATATCAGTCAAAATCCAGCTGTCCAGTTCACTGCCACGATTCATTGCCATGCTGTCTGTCAGGGCTGCCGTTCATTCCACCAGGGCTGTTGTTCTGCAAGGCTGCCTTTTCATCAGGCAAGATAGGAACTCATACATTATTGGTGGTATTGTAAAATGGTACAATCACTTGGGAAGGCAGTTTTGCACTTCCTTCAAAGCTGAACATAGAAATTCCATATCACACACTATTCCACTGCTTGGAATATACCCCAAGAAAATTAGAACTGAGGCACATATGGAAATTTGTTCACCAATGAGCATAGCAGCTTTAGTCACCATCTCAAGAAAATGGAAACAGACCAATGTCCAACTACAATTGAATGGACTGAGAAATTATGGTACATTCATATGATAGAGAACTATGAAGCATGAGCAATGATTTTGAAAATCACTACTTGGGAAGAGCTGGAAAGCATTATGCTAAGTGAACTAATGCAGTCTTATAAGAACAAATACTGTATTAGACCATTGTTGTAGAACACGTATGAGGATCCAAGGGGAGGAGGGTGGGAGCACAGGGGTGAGGATGGGAGGAGGTGTGGTGGGGCTGGGGGGTTGTGAATCATAGGGTTGCAAAATTTGATGGGCGAATAGTGGAGTGGGTAAAGGAAACAGGAAAGATTCAGTATGAAAAGTAATGTATATGAACTTTGCAAGTAAACCAGTATGAAATAAAAATTTAATTTAAAAAAATTGTCACAGTTGGACCAATAGGCAATATAATGAGAAAAGAGTCAAGTTAACAATTTATTAGATCCACAATCAACACCCATGGAAGCAGCAGTCAAAAATCAAAAGACATGTCATAATGGGAAAAATCTGCAGTCAAGGATCTCTTCAAAGTACTAAAGAGCTAGACTGTCAGTTTAAACACTAAGGTGAGCCTGATACAAAACACCTTATTTCCAATTGCTTCATATGCATGTAAAAGTGGGACAATGAATAGAAAGACTGACAAAGAATTTACATTTTCTAAATGTGATACTAAATGCTGTGACACTGATGTGCCAAATGTGATAATGGTTACCCATAGTGGACAGTGTTTGGTGGAGCTACCTGATTAAAACAAGCTTGGAAGCAGGAGTGGCATCCATTTCTGAAATGGCTTGACTCCAGAAACTCTATGAACATGGGGAAAAGGTGAAGTTTATACAAGTGTACAGGTCTTTTGTTCATAGAGTCCCTATGAGTCGTCTATGACTCGAGGGCACTCATCAACATCAGTAACAAAAAGGTACTGAATATATCTGGATCACTAAAAGAACAAATTCGTCTTGGAGGAACTGCAATCAAGGTACGCCTTAAAGGCTTAGAGATAACTTTGTTTCACACTTGGCATAGTGTCAGAAGTGTCAATCATTGGAAAAATACATGCTTAGAAAAGCAGAGGGTTAGCAGCAGGGAGGACGATCTTCAATGAGAAGGACTGACATAGTGATCGCAACAATGTGTTTGAGTGTGGGAGACGTTCTGAGGATAATGCATGACAGGACAAGGCTCTGATCTATTGTTCATTGGATTGCTATGAATTGAAGTCAAATCAACAACACCTGAAACAATACCATTTCTAAGATGTGGTTTAAGATGGAGTTTTATTCATCACATTCATAATCCAATAAGAAACATGGTGGGAGGATAGAGGAAGTGGAATCACACGTGCTTTTATGGTTACATTCCAGAGATTGTGAAAAATATTTATATTATACCCCTGTTGTTATTGTTGTTGTTAAGTCCCATTGAGGTGAGTATAGCTCATGGCTAACCTAGAAGGCAGAAAGTACTCAGCAAACTGTTAAATAGGAATAACAAAAAATGTAAGGCAATTGGTAAGAATGGTAAGCAAAAGAAAATGGGTTGGCACTGGAAACAAAGAATCAGGCTTTTGTTGAGAAACAAGGGCTCACAGGACGAGGCTGGTAAACCTGAAGAGAGGCAGCAGTCTGTGAGAATGAGTCATGGACCCCCCCCCCCCAGCCAGAATACAGTAAAATATAAAGAAAAACAAGTTTGTAAATATTTTCTTCAGGGGAAATGTACAAAGGGAGACTAGTGCATATTTGAACATAATATAGAATGAGAGAGGAAAAGGAAGTGTGTAAATGTTATTTCCAAAGATTTTTTTTGTGGTGAAAACTGCCTGTATTTGCATATTTTCCCTGCAAATTTTATCATTTAAGAACATAATGTTATTAGAGAGAATGCTGCAAGTTTCTCATGCCTCACTGACTGTTGAAACATGAAAACTGTTAACCAGAGTTTTAAATACTGGAAAGGAGACACCTTGTAAATAAAATAGACATGAAAAACATTTAAAAAATATAGCAAGGGGTCAGCAGCAGGAAGGAAGGTCTTCAATGAGAAGGACTGACATAGTGACCGCAACAATGAGTTTGAGTGTGGGGGACATTCTGAGGGTAATGCATGATGGGACAATCTCTAATCTATTGTTCATTGGATTGCTATGAATTGTAGTCAATTCAGCAACACCTAACAATACCATCTCTAAGATGTGGGTTAAGATGGAGTTTTATTCATCACATTCATAATCCAAGCAAGTAACATGGTGGGAAGAGGGAGGAAGTAGAAACACACCTGCTTTTATGGTTACATTCGAGATTGTAAAAACCATTTACATTATATCCCTGTTGTTACTGTTGTTGTTAAATGCCATCTACTTGAGTAAATCTCATAGCTAACCTATGAATAGTGAATCTGAACCCCATCCCATCTGTGCCATCCGTATACTTTCTGACACACTGGAGGCCATTTGGTAGTCTTGTCTATCCACCTGGTCAAGAGTCTTCCTCCCCTTTGCCGACTCTTTATCCTTTCAAGCATCATGTCCCATTCTAAGGAATAGCCCCTCTTAGCAACATGTCCAAAGTATGTGAGGCAAAGCCTCATCATTTTTGCCTCTGAAGATCACTCTGGCTGCACCCTTTCCAACACAAATTTGTTCTTTGGGGAGTTGGTGGGATGTTCAGTGCTCTTTTTCAACATCATACATAGCTCAAAGACATCAACTCTTCTTCTGTCATCTTTATTCATTGTACAGCTTTCAGAGGCAAAGCAAGTGGTCCATAAGACCATGGCCTGAGTCAGACACACGTTATATTTTAGTAGTGTACTCTCATTTGCATGGTCATTTATATAAGCAAGACTGACAATATAGCTTTCATTCTGGGTTTAAATATTATATAAACTTTTTGAAATGATAATTAACTTTTCAAGTTGTCTGTGACCTTATATTTCCAGAAAAGGAAAGTCACAGATGTACTTAATTTAAAGGCCCCAAAGAAAACAATAGAAAAGTGCTAGCTCATTTTATATCGAAAGCTTTCAACAGTGTTTGCCAAATGTCACATGAACATGAAATTATATTGGTAGTGTTATTTAGTAAAGGGAAAATGTTATTTTAATTAGTAAAATATTTTTACTTTATCCTATCAATCCCAGAAAAAAGAAAACAAAGTGTTGATAGGTTGAGATGTAAAAAAAACACAATGACTTCCTCTTTAATTCCCGATAAAAGCTTTTCCACATCTCAGTCCCCATTATTGGCACCATGGCCCTCTTTCTTACTTCTATCTGTGTGATAGTTGGATGTCTTTCTGTTTCTTTAGCAGGAGCAGCCAATCTCTCAGATCTCTATCCTCCTCTATGGGAGGAGAGTCCGGAGAACTTCCGTGCCTATTTTCAACAAGATGGCCAGCATATTATTGATGCCTGGAATTACCCCCAGAGAATGGGGATGTATAGAATCCTATTGAAAGAGACAGCCAAGTATTTTGAAAGATTTGCACCAGACAATGAACAAAACCTTCTGTGGGGATTACCTCTACAGCATGGCTGGCAATATTCTTCAGGTAAGAATGAACACTTTTGTATTATGGCCTTTCACTATATCTGTAAAGTAAATGATAAATGAGAGAGACTCTCTATATACTATACCAGGGAGCTCTGGTGGCTTAGCACCAAGAAACTACATTGTCAATGCAAAAGATTCAATTCAAATCCACTAGTTACTCACCAGGAAAAGATGGACAATCTCTTCTCATGCAATGAACTGCCTCTGAAAGCCCACTAAAGGGTCAGCTATGGGTCTATTCTGATGCTACAGTACACAACAACATATACTATATCAAGGACCTCTGAGGTGTGTGTTCATAGCATAATGAATTGCTAAAAAAAGACCAAAACATCCCTGGCAATTTTGTTTCTACCAGTAGCAGCTGGGGAAAAAGGTGGATGGTCTCCTGCCTTTAAAAGCCTCAGAAACCTGATAGAAAGATTTTATGTGTCAGAGTAGACTTAATGGAAGTGAGTTTATATACCAAACTACATTTTTTAAAGAAAGAATTCTATTTATTTTCTCTTTTAAGAATCATAACTATTACTTTTCTCCTTATCCACAAATCATCCATTAGTGATTGACTGTTTGAATCCAAAATTGCACTGAAGAGTAAAGCATATGTGTTGAGTGCAAGATTTTCCTGATAGAAAAGGCAATATTCAAATTTGCCTGGGTTCTAAAAATCTTAGTGTAATTCCATACATGACTAGTATGAGATGGAAATAAACCAAACAAGATCAAGGGATTGTTTAGACCTGTAGAATAATTGTCACCAGCTTTGAGAAAGGATTTGAAGGAATCATGCAAGTTGAACTCTTTAAGAAAGCAAGTGAAATAAAGAGTTGGATATGTAAGGAGAAGGTCTAACTCCCAAAGAAGATGAGAGAAGATACATATTAAGACAGTTTTCCAGATTTATTTTTCACTTTAACTTGTTTTTGTTGTATACCATTGAGTAGGAACCAACCCATAGCTGACCAATGATGGGTTTTCAGAGGCACTTAATCTCATGGGAGGAGACTCTCTGACCATCCTTCTCCCATGGAACAGAAAGTGGAACTGAACCACATGTCCTCAGGATTACAGTGCAGCTTCTTGCTACCAAAACTCCCTTCACTTTAATTCAGTAGTCAGAAAGAATTAAGAAAAGTCCCCAATTCTAATATATGTACTGCTTAATACTGTTAACTTATTTGTAAGTATTATTTCTCTGACTGGAAAAGAAAAATGAAACTCAAAAGAAAAGGATAGAATGTATATGGGGAATGAGGAGAGCAAAACTTATTTGGTCATGGTCATGAAAAAAAGAATGAAATTAAGAAGAATATAATAAAGAGGAAAAAATGGTAAGGCAAAAGAAATGTCATACATAATACATTAGAGACCTCAAAATAAGGTTTGGTATAGAGGAAGTAATAAACCATATCTTTATCAGATAGAAATTAGAAATTAGGGGAAACAGAATGTTAAGTGAGCTTGGAAAACAAAACAGAACCAAGAAGCAACATTTTAAAGAGAAACAAAAGATAAGCAAAGGAGGTGGAACAAATGAAATAAATAAATCATGCATAGATAATGAACACACTGCATTGGAATTGCTGAAGAGCCATCAATCTGAAATGAATAAACCATCAGACATTATGGGTATAGCAATTTAAAATGTGCAACATGATGCATAGAATTGATCAGACAATTGGAAAAGGAAAAACCCAAACAATTTTTAAGGGTTGATAGTCACTGATTTCACATGCAAGCAAGATTTTACTGAAGATTATAAAAAAACGACTGGAACAGCACATCAACAGAGAGCTACCAGAAGTCCAGGCTGGGTTTAGAAGGGGTCGTGGTACTAGAGATATTGTAGCTGATGTTAGATGGATCTTGGCTGAAAGCAGGGAATATCAGAGGAATGTCTATCTGTGTTTCATTGACTATGCAAAGGCATTTGACTGTGTAGATCATAACAAACTGTGGCTGACTCTGAGAAGAATGGGAATCCCAGAACACTTGATCGTTCTAATGTGAAACTTATACTTGGACCAGGAGGCAGTCATCAGAACAGAGCAAGGGAACACTGCATGGTTCAAAATTGGGAAGGGCGTACGCCAGGGATGCATCCTATCTCCATATCTTTTCAACCTATATGCAGAACAGATTATCAGGGAGGCTGGGCTCTATGAGGAGAAATGTGGGGTCAAGATTGGTGGACGATTTATCAACAATCTGCGTTATGCAGATGACACAACTCCGCTTGCTGAAACTGAAGAGGACCTGAAGCACCTGCTACAGAGCGTCAAGGACTGCAGCCTACAATATGGATTGAGGCTCAATGTCAAGAAGACAAAGATTCTCACCTCTGGACCAATTGGCAGCATCAGGATGGATGGTGAAGAGATTGAGATTGCACACGGCTTTAGTTTGCTTGGCTCCATAGTCAACAGTCTTGGCACCAGCAGCCAGGAAATTAAAAGGCGCATTGCCATGGGAAAGTCTGCTGTTAGGGACCTCTCCAAAGTGCTGAAGAGCAATGGTGTCTCTCTGGAGACTAAGGTGCGTCTGATACAGGCCATGGTCTTCACAATCACTTGTTATGCATCAGAGAGTTGGACAATGACCAGGGAGGATAGAAGGAGAATTGATGCCTTTGAGATGTGGTGCTGGAGAAGAGTATTGAGAATACAATGGACTGCTAGGAAAACAAACGGATTTGTCCTGGAAAGGGTTAAACCGGGTGGCTCCTTGGAGGCAAGGATTCTGAGGCTCCTTCTAACATACTTTGGACATGTTGTGAGGAGAGACCGGTCCTTGGAGAGGGACATCATGCTTGGGAGGGTTGAGGGACAGCGCAGGAGAGGAAGGCCCTCTATGAGGTGGATTGATTCAGTGACTGGGGTAATTGGGATGGGAGTGTTGGAGACAGTGCGATTGGCACAGGACAGAGCGGAGTTTAGGGCAAGTCGCAGGCGACTTGACAGCACTTAACAACAACAACAACAGTGGCATGAAGGGAGGAATAGAGAACAGAAATTTTAAAATGGAAGGATAGTGAAAAGGGGAAATGAGGATACAGTGGAAATTTGATAAGACGTAAGAAATGGTATTGCACTATTGTAATCTGTGCTATGAAACAAAACGTAAGGGAAAAAAATAATAAAACCCAACCAAAAAAAGTGTACATAAGTGACTGAATGGAAATCAACACAAAAAATATAGAGATTGAGAAAATAGCAAGAAAAATACATTTGCTAATACTGACTGAAAAGGCAAGCTCTTGTGTTCTCCTGGTAAGAAACTGCACTGTAATCCTGAAGGCATGTGGTTTGAAACCACCAAGGGCTCCACCCAAGAAAGATGGTTAATCTCCTCCTGTGAGATTAACTGCCTCTGAAAACCTGCTGGAATGTCAACCATGGGTGTGTTCCAACTCTACAGTACACAACTACAACATCACTAGAAAAGCTTTGTATTATTTTTATCACTTAACTTCATAAGTTAGTTAACAACTTCATAAATTAGTCAATATTATTATTCCTATTTTAGATCTGGAAGAATTTAGTTAATGTAAGTTAGGATATGACAGAGTGACACTCTTAGAGGACTCTGTTTTGTGGTTGTAAGGTCCTGTTGAGTCAAGTACAATTTATAGCAAACCTATGATCAGTAGACCTGAGCCCTGTCTTATCCAGCCTGTGCCATTCTCATCATCTCTGACACATCTAAGCCCATTGCTGCAGCCACTGTATAATCTATCACTTAAAAGGTTTTCCTGTCTTTCACTGAACTTCCACCTTTTTAAACATGATATCCCTTTCTTAGGAATAACTTCTCTCAGACCTCTTTTAATGTTTGTGAATCACATGCCTCCTTAATTTTGAATGGGTTTATGAAAGGAAATGTAAGAGAGAATGATTACCAAAGTTAAATAGACTTAAGACAATTAAAAAGTAGAACATTATTGTGTTGTTAAGGGAAAAAAATTGAGATGAGAAAAGAAAGACAGATGAGAAGACAAACAGAAGTTATCCATAAATGAGTGTTTTGCACATCCTTAAAATGAAAATTTATCTACAAAAGTGAGAATTAGAAACAATTTAAAAATTAGCATAACAAATATGACTTCTATCTTCTCTCTTCTAGGCAGATTAGCTGATCCCACCCATGCAACAGACTGTGGCTCTGCATCAGGAGATAAGTCATGCATCTCTGTTGATAGTTGGTGGGCAGGTAAGTTCATTTAAATAGCTAAACAGCAAATTACTTAACCTTTTCAAAATTATTGTATTTAGTCTAAAATCTTAAGTACAGCGACAAAGAATTAGTTTAGTTGCAAGCATGATTACAAATTAAACTTGCATAGGTAAAATTCAAAATATCCAATTATTTATATAAACTATAAACTTATAAAATTTAGGAAATTACACATTTTACAATAATAAAGCAATGAGAGGCACTGTGCTATTTTTTAAACATATGTGACTTTATTATCACTTTACATAACAACTTGCAAGATTAAATATTATCAAATCCACAAAAAAAATATTATCAAATCCTTAAAGTTATTTTTGTTTTAAAGTACTTTGGTACATATGTATTAATGATTGAAGGATTATAAATGTTGTTGTTGTTAGGTGCATCAAGTCACACATGACTCATAGAGACCCTATGAACACCAGATCTGAATCTTGTTTTATCCTGTGTACCCATTGCTACAGTTACCATGTAAGTCTGTCTTCTTGGATAGCTTTCTTCTTTTGTTGACTATCTGTACAAGATATCCCTTTCCAAGGAACAGGCTATCCTAGCAACATGCAGTCCTTGCCTCCAAGGAGCACTCACTGCACCTTTTCCAAGACATACTTGTTTGTTCTTTCGGCAATCCATGAGATACTCAATACTCTTCTCCCCCACAGTTCAAAGGCATCAATTTTTCTTCTGTCATTCTTATTAATTGTCCAATTTTGAGATGCGTCACAGCTGACTGAAAAGACACACTTTAGTCTTCAAAATGGCATAATTGCTCTTCATTTTGGCGAGGTCATTACTCTTCTGTTTTGGAGAGGTATCTGACAGTAGACTTTTCCAGTTCAACATCTCATCATCTCCTGACTGTTGGTAGCAGCAGTGTTTATTGTGGATCTAAGTAAGACAAAATAATTTACAGTTTAAATCTTTCTCCATTTATCATATTATTGCCCATTTAGAAGCATGTTAATTTTATTTAGATAATTCTTAATTCTTTTATTCATGGATTATTTTAATCATGATTCTGAGTCAGTGGGACTTTTCCTTCAAAATGTCCTTGCTCTAGGGGAGCTCTGGTGGCCTAGTGGCAAGAAGCTGCACTGGAGTCCCAGAGATATGTGGTTCAAATCCACCAGATGCTCTGCTGGAGAAGGAGGGGCCATCTCCTCCTGTACCAGTCAGATCTGATTTGATGGTACACACACACACAAAAAATAATAATAAAAAAAATTTTAAAAAAGTCTTTGCTCAAATTTAGAAAACTAATCATTATAATACATCAAGTTAGTGGAAAAATAACTACATGATAAACCCAATTGACTTGGAAAAGGCAATTGACAAAATTATATCAATTTTCTACATTTTAATTGTCATGATTAGAACACTCAACAAATTAGGAATAGAGGGGAAATTTCTTGATATGATAAGGGACATTCATGAAAAATTCACAGGAAAGAGATTGTGAACTTTCCTGTTAAGATGAGGAACAAGACACAGATGCCTAACCCACCATGGCTATTCATCATTGTGCCAAAGTCCTAGCTGACAAGTTAGTGAGAATTAATAATTATAAAAATTAGAAATATATAAAAGACATTTATATTTATCATTCCTTTATATTTATGTTATGAATATATAAAATTATTGTTGTTGTTGTTGTGTAGTTTATAGTCAGAACTAACCCACAGTTGACCCGCCAGTGGATTTTCAGAGGTAGTTAATCATACAGGAGGAAATTGCCCATTCTTCTACCTGTGGAGTAGCTTTGAACTGTGGACCTTTGGGATTGCAGTGTAGCCACTTGCCACTAGACCACGAGAGCTCACTATAAAATGATAAATAATTAATAATTGGAACAAATGAATCATCTGGAGTCATTTGACTTCTTTTTATGTGTGTATTTGTATATAACAAGATAATTAATCCATGGTAGTAAGAAGTCATCACCATTAATTATCTAGGGAGTTCTGTCAGCTTAGTTGTAAAAAACTGATCTGCAAATCCAAAGGCACTTAGTTTAAATCCACCAGCAGCTCTGCAGGGGGAAAATGGGCACTGTCCTTCCTTGCAATTAACTGCCTTTACAAACCTGCTGAAGGGTCAGCTGTAATTTAGATGGCACACAATAGCATCTTCTCTTTGTGTTTTTAAGTAGTAAGAGTTCAACAAATCACCCACTGTGCTCTAAAGATTGCATACATCTTTAAGAATGCACCAGATTAAAACTAAAAGGAGACACCATTTCATTTACAGTAAAAATCAGAAGATAACAGTTGTTAGCAGGGAGGTAGAGAAATTGGAACACCTATGCATTGATAATTGTACAGAGCTGTTATGGAAAATTATTTGGAAGTTCTTCAATGTTTGAACAAAAAATCACTGTATGACCCAGCAATCCCAATCTTAGGTGGACATCCAAATGAAGTGAAGTCAAGAGCTAAACAAGAAGCTGGTAGACTAGTGTTCATTGCAACACTGTTCTGTAATATCTAAAAGATAGAAATAGCTTGAAAGATAACAATGTCCAAAGGATACAAACAGTCTAACAACAGGTAAATGGATAAACAAAATATCTACACAAATACACACACAGTATATAATAAAATTGAATATTACTCAGTAATAAAGAGAAATTAAATG